TGCTAATTCGGTGCTAATTTATATATATATAAAAAAAAAACGGATCGGGTTGTTTCAATTATGTTCTATTAGGGTTTAGTTATTAGGGTTTAGGGGGTTTTAGGGGTCAAAACATTTTTTATGGTTTAGAATTTTAATATATAGGCTTTATAAATCTATAATTAGTGACATTTTTGCAAATGGACATCCCTAAGTGGCATTCTTGCAAATGTGCACACAAAAAGTGGCATTTTTGTAATTGTTCTTTTTTTTAACTGTAAAAAAAAAATTCAAAGTTAGACACGTACGGCATTATTAATAAAATATTATAATTTTGTTGCATTGCAAAAGATGGGTTACATTTTGTTTTCTCAATTCAGAGCTCCGCAATTTCAGATCATGTTCTATTTGGAGACTTGATTTTTGATTGTTTTCATTAAAATATCAGACAGAAATAATTTTAATATTGGGTTTTAACTTTAAGTGAATGTAGGTAGATCTACAAATAGTAGATATGATGGGTCAACAATAGAGGTCAATATTGATGTGTCTATATATTTGTATCTCGACTTTAAAGGTCTTGTAACCAAAAACAATCTACTTTGTTCTTGGATATTCATTGTGTAGATTTTAGTGTCTTCAATGGAATCCAATTGCGTTCAATTTCTTCAGAACAAGACGATTCTCGTCACAGGTGTTCCTGGTTTCCTCGCCAAAGGTACCAATTTTTCTGACATAGCCGGTCCGACTTGGATGGGTTATGATATCTTAGGATTGTTATGCATGTTATGCATCAGAAAAAAGATTGTGTGATTCAATCCAAGCTTTTCTATTAATTTTTCAAGTGATTAGCTATGGTTTAATACTGCTTTTGAATTTCATTTGCATGGCATGTATAACATCTTTCAGTGAATCTATGATATTATATTAGTCATTTATTCGTTTGTTGTTCACTCTCTTTTTGTGGTCAATACATCATATACGTACATAGTTAGTTCTTTATATTTTCATTTCGAATCAACCTAATTCTAATATATAATTAATGCTTTGTGATGGTGAACAACTTCCCATCTTTGTAGAATTTCCTCACCAAAATATTTTATTTCGAG